TTATAACTATGTCTACAGCCGATTCACCTTTGTTGTTTTTAGTATCCTGATTAGCGCCGTTTTTCAGTAACTCCTCTATAGCTTCCATTAAAAGCTTTTTAGATCCTTTCGTTTTCATCGCTTGTTTCAAAAGGGCATGTAGGGGAGTGGTACCGTCCATATTAGAATTCACCACTGACGGATTTCTTGAGACATGTTTTCGGATTTCATCCCAATTATTTTCAGAAATTGCGGTAAAAAACGCCGCCGCGGTCGCGTAGTCTTCATTGCCAGTATCACTATCGCTACCGGAAGAACGGTCTTCACTCATGTTTAGAAACTTTTACACAATCACAAACTGGTAATTAAAATCGCTTTTGAATGTTTTTACGATGGTTAAATGATGTATACTCCTAATGCGAGCTTTGCCGAACTAAATAAAATAACAAAAATAAGATAAATATATCTTATCTCCATTTTAGTTAAATACAGTTTAAGCAAAACTGAGAGTGCATATGATGATACATAAGTATACCGGGTGCGTCTCAAAAGTGGCTCACCCCTATAACTTTTTTATTTTTTCAGATAAAAAAACGAGATTTGGTATGTTAGTATATCACATAAATTAGGATTGATTGACATATCCAATTGTTTTCGGTCACTTCCGATTTCCCCAGTAATTACTACAACTTTTGATTTTTAAATGGCATACTCGGTATTTTTTTAGTTTATTCGATAGAAAATGACATTCTGAATACAATGACATATCATATGTCAACTTTTGACATTCTCCCTTAATAAAAAAATCGCATTTTAAAATTCAATCTAGAGTGCCATGGCTATGTTAAAAACACTAATTCTAAATCAAGGAGCCTTGGAAAAATAGATTTTGACGTCTAATGTTTTTAGTGTCTTGTCCTGGGCAGTTAGAAAATGCCCAAATCGTATTTTTAATCATATCTCAATTTTTTCAAATGGAACGAGGGTGACTTATTAGCATATTTGGAAAAAGCCTTTTTTTACAAATAATTCGAGTAGTAAGTACTACAAATAGTACTACACACTTGGTATTTCGAGTCAAATTTTCGTTACGAACCGCAAGTTATAATGTCAAATAAACCATATGCAAAAATGTCAAAAGTTGACATATATGTCATTCTGTTCAGAATGTTATTTTTTATCCAGTAAAGTAAAAAAAATACCCATGTGTGCCATTTAAAAATCAAAAGTTGTAGTCATTTCCAGTGAAACAAGAAGTGACCGAAAACAATTGAACACGTCAATCAATCCTAATTTATGTTATATACTAACATACCAAATCTCGTTTTTTTTGTCGGAAAAAATAAAAAAGTTATAAAGGTGAGCCACTTTTGAGACTCACCCGGTATAGGAGAAACCACAAACAATGTACATGCAATCGACTAAAATACAATCTATATAGATATAAATATTGCTTTTTTTTAATGATCCTTGAAATGATTGATAGGCGCATTAAAAGAGAACAAACAACTATAATAATTTGGATATATTTTTTTAAATGATCGTCATATTTCAAATAAGGTTTCTAAAAAAAGGAAAATTAGGAATTAATTTGTAATAGTACTTCATATTAATAAATTAATTTGATTTCTTTATTATAATTGTCGGTTACATACTTCGTCGTTTGCAACAGTTTGAAGTCTTTTAAGACTATCCCTAGGAAAATGATATCCAAGGCGTTCTAACTTTTTTCAAATTTTAGTATTTCTAAGTCGCCGGCATTCATTACCGTTTGCTTAAATATCATGTTTTCATTATATTTTTTTCACAATTTTTTTATAATTCGTATGATTGTAGTAGTAGTTCCTGTTGAGAGTTTTTGTGAAAGTTTTTTTTCAGTTATTTTAGCTGTTCTGATGCCTGATTTTCCTCTTGTTCCGATTAGAAATAACATTATAATATTTTATTAATAATTGCTTTACGTTTTGCTCTCTTCATTTTTCCTTTTCTTTTGTTCTTACTTCTTTGGTTGGTGTTTTAGTTTACTTAAATATTTTTAAAATATTATGTACTGTTTTTGTAATATTTTCAAGTTGATTGCCTGATTGTTAGCGAATTCGAATGTTTTCATGCTTAAAGCTTTGCGAAACTTGCTGTTTTCTGTCGTTATTTCTGTAACATGTATTAACTAAATAATATAAAATATATTTCATATATAAAATATATTTCATGATGGAAAAACGCGTGATATATTTATTATATTGTAATTTTATAGTTTAACAACTTCTAGTAACTCAAAATTTGTCACTGCACTGTCAAGAACTTCAGGGATAGACATACATATTGCCATTACTCGCTGACGAGTATTTGGCAAGCATCAGAAGATGGTCACGCAAGGCGTTTTCGTTCATGAGCTTTTCTGTGACTGAAAAGCCCGATACGTGAAGTTATTTGCCTACCGCACTCCAGACATTCAAAAATATCACTGCTTTGTTGCCTCTTTACTTTTTGGTTGTCGCTGTTAACTGACTTTACAATTCTTCTCCATTCCGTTCTATTGTGAGCTGCCTCTTCCCACTCATTCTGCTTGTTAATCCCTTTTAACTATTCGTGGAAAATATCCTTGTACCTTTTGAGTTGTCCACCCGGCCTCCTCTTACCGTCTACAAGCTCACCGTAAAGCAGAGAATTTGGTATGCGGTTTTCTTGCATTCTGCATACGTGACCAGCACATTTTAAGCGGAACTTTGTAATCATGACTTCAATACTCTCGCAGTTAGCTTTTTCAAGGACCGATACGTTTGAGACATGATGGAACCATTTTATTCTTAAGAGTTGTCTAAGATGTCTCAGTTGCAACTTGTTTAATGCGTTCATGTGTCGGCGGTACGGCCACCTAGGTTTCGCTTCCATATACATACAGGGATAGAAGCATAGTTTAAGGAAAAGAGTAGTTGCACTCTCGCAAATATTTTCTGCCAGTTTTTGCAAGCTGGCAGGTTGCAAAGCGTTTCAGTCTGTGCGTCTGTGGTTTCAGTTCAATTCGGTCCGTCGAGCTGTGAGGTTCGAGCGTTGCGTCCGAGCACAGGGACGGATTGACAAAAAATGAGTGCCTTACTGTGCGCTGCTATTAATTGTGGAAATAATTCAAAAAATTGTTCTTTGGGTCTTTTTAGATTTCCATCGGATGTAAATCGGCAAGCTGATAGTAATTATCAATTAACATTTAATTATATTTGTTTATTTTAGAAGCTGAGATATTATGTAATTAATTAAATGTTATTATTTTTTTAAAAATAGTTTTTAGATATACAGGTTGTCTCAAATATGCGCATGAAAATATTTTTGGTCAGGGGATTTTCCAGTTCATTTTCGGCCAATAATAATGTTACGAGATAATTTATATAAATTGGGTTTTGAAACAATTTTAGAGTAAATATCTTGTACATCTAAAGTCTCCGCAAATTCTTCATATTTTTTAATTGAAAGAATTTTATAATAGCATAATCTCTTATAAATTTAGTGGACTGTATTTTTTTATGTTTTTGTTATTTATTTTTTATTATAAGTGGTCGTAATATAACAATATTTAAAATATTATAGACAAAATATTGAGTTTATATTTGAGGGAAGAAAAGTGCCACACCTAGCTTTAAACATCCGTAAATATACAGGGTGGCCCATTAGTGCGAGGAAGTCCAATATCGTCGTCGTTGTCGAAGATGTGAAAAAAGTTTTATTCATATTATATTTAGTTTCAAGGTTTATAAAGGGGTGTATCCTAAAATATTTTGTTATATACAGGGTGTCACAAAAAAAGTTATGGTAAAGTTAGTTTGATTTTTTTTATTATTTTACATCATTCTATATACATTATTCTATATTGGGTATTTTTTATGACGTCACCAAAATCGCAATATTTAAAATGGTATATCTCAACTTTTTTAAATGCATATTTACACATTCTGTATATTATTTTTCTGTCAGATGCAGAATTAAAAAGTGAACATTTTTTTATTAATTTAAAGTGTTTCTAAATTTTTACCGCTGTCGCAGATATTCGCAGTATTATATTACATATGGCTCTTTCAACAGTAAATTTTTTTCAAAGCCACCTAATATGATCTTTGTCTATCTTGTCTTGTCAAAAAATGATCACCTTTTAATTCTACATCTGAAAGAAAAATAATATACAAGGTGTTGTATTTAAAAAAATGAGATACAACATTTTTTAAATATTACGATTTTGGTGACGCCATAAAAAATATCCTGTATACGATAAAGTAAATTTTTCTACACGAATTTATTCCGATATCCTTCATGTTTAAGAAAACATAGCAAAGTATTAATAAAGTTATATTTACTCTAGTTTTTACCACTTTTCGTATATAATGTTTTTAACCAAAGTTTTTTAGTAAATAAGAAATAGATTAGCAACACCGCAGTGTGCTTTAAATAAAAACAGTGTACTATAGCATAATTTTATGCCGAATCCAGTAATCTACAGAAAATTAAACTTGCTTTAAATAAAAAAAAGGCGTAGAAAATCTCTGAAATAGATAATAATATAAAAATATGTCATTATATATTTTTTCCGCATTTCTTCCCATCAGAAGATTTTCAGATACAGAAGAATTGTTACCTACACGAAATGTGAAAATATTCTGTTTTCAAGCAAGTTTTTACTCGATGGTCATTTTTTTTATTTTATTTTATTGTGAACTCATATTTTCCTAAATACATATCTGTGAAACTATGGCGAGTGCCACGTCTATACTTTGCCTAGTTAATAGACCACGACTATACATCTACGTCGTCGGCTACGGAGACGAGAACAAGGTCATATAAAGTGGCAGAAAAAGAACAAAGGATTTGACAAGGAGTAAAACTACTAGTTTGCTTATACTATGATAGAAGTACACACGGTATACCAATAATTAATATCTATAAAAATACTTTACAGGAGTTTTCAGCAATGGGATGAAATAAAAATGTATAATAACATTCAAAATTAAAATAATTTAATAAAGATATGCGTAAATACACAAAAATACTCTAAATGCAAATAAATTTTTAAAAATATCCACATTGTAGGAAAGAATGACAACTGTCAATATCATGTTCCATGGCAAAACCTGGAAGATCAGAAATTTTCTAGATCACGATCAGCTCTCAGTTTACTATCTAAAATAAAAGAAATGTTTTAATAATAGTCAAAATTAAAGTTTCAAATAAATTTTAACATTTAGACAAAGAACAAAATCTAGAATACATTTACTAATTCTCTTCTTGATTCTTTATGAATTCACTTCAGATTAAGAGAGTATTGTACTTGCAAAATTTCCTCTTTATTGGAGATATTTATATGCTAGTGTTCACTTCTTATATCCGAATGATTTTTACTATGATTTGATGTAACCCAAACTCGTTCATTGTGGTCGTAACAGAAGAAATACCGTGCAAAGCAATGACTAAAGGACACAAGGACATGTAACGCCCATATACGGGCTGCAGCAGAATTTGTGACCTTAGACGCCAGTTCTTTGGACATAACCAATGAGTCATCAGCTGGTCATCAGCCAGAATTTTAGCGAATTTTAATAGTTGGTTTTGTTCAGCTTTCAAGTGTAAAAGGCACAATGATAAAAAAAGAGCCAGGAGTTACGTTTTATTGGGAAATAAAGAATCCACTCCACCTTTTTATCGGAATTATGTCGCTGCAATATACTGCTGCACAAAGATACAGTAAATTTCTACGATCAGCGAGGCAATGGTACTTCTTCATATAATCACTAGCGTGTACCAGCGACTTCGTTCGCGTCGAATTAATCATTTGTAATGGTGATGATAAAGCAAAGCAAGAATTTCCATTAACATACAAACTGGATAAAATTTCCTCGCATTTACATCAGAATGAGAAAAAAACAATATGGCGATATTATTACATAACTTGGTAATATTTGAGGGGTAGTTTCATCTCGTTGGAATTTGACTTTCAAAAAATCCATTTGCCAAAAATAAGCTTTTTACGTCAAGCAGTTTAAGCAGAATCGTGGTTAAGAAATAACCCAACTTTTTGGAACACCCTATATGATTTTTTTAAAAAATTTCAAAATATGTTAAAAAAACAAATAAATTATGCTCGTCCAAGCGTTTTCCCGAAAGACTAACCGTTTTTTAAATAACAAATATGGTAATATTTGAGGGGCGTTTTCACCCTCTTGGAATTTGAGATTCGAGAAACCCCTCCTTATCGAACCTCCACACCCCACAGTCAATCCGTTTGCCAAAAATCAGCTTTAAACGTCAAGCAGTTTAAGCAGAATCGTGATTACTCAATGGTCATATTTTATGAAATACCCTGTATAAATTTATAAGAAATCTTAAAATATGTAAAACAACAAAATAAAATATACGTGTTTAAGAGTTTTTCCGAAAAACTCACCGGTTTTTAAATAAAAAATATTTTAATATTTGAGGGATAGTTTCACCCCCTTAGAATTCGAGTTTCGAAAAATCCCTTCTTATCGAACCTCTACACCCTAAAGTCAATCTGTTTGCCAAAAATCAGATTTTTACGTCAAGCGCTTTAAGCAGGATCGTGATTAATCAATGACCAGATTTTTCGAAACACCCCGTATACATTTTTAAAAAATCTTAAAACATGTAAAAAAACAAAATAAAATATAAGTGTTTAAGCGTTTTTTCGGAAACTTGACCGTTTTTTAAATAAAAAATATTGTAAGTTGAGGGGTGGTTTCACCCTCTTGGAACTGGAATTTCGAAAAATCCCTTCTTATCGAACCTCTACACCCTAGAATCAACCTGTATGCCATAATTGAGCTTCTTACGTTGAGTGGTTTGAGCAGGATCGTGATTAATCAGTATGTCAGTCACTTAAGGATTTTATAATTAGTATAGATATACAGTGGTGGCCAAAAGTATGGAAACTTTTTACTTCTTAAAATATCACAGAAAATATTGCTATGCTTAAACTCTCAGGAATATAAAGAACAGCTTATCAGCAAATAAAAGTATTCCAAAAATTACACAGCGAAAAAAATATGTTTGGCAGTTTTTGTAGGAGAACAATAGATTTCTTGTGGCCAAAAGTATGGAAACTATAAATAAATACATTAAAATTATTTAGTTTAAGCTGATAAACGGTACGATTTGCTTCAGATAAATATAAACATCATGCCCAAGTCTAAATATTTCTCTACGGATTTAAAAAATAAAATAGTTGAATTATACAAGAGCGGTTATAAACAAATTCAAATAAGTAAAAATTTAAACATTTTAAAAGGCACCGTTTCGAAAATAATTCGTAAATTTAATAAAACAGGGAACGTTTCAACAGCTTTTAAATCAGGAAGACCGAGAAAGTTGTGCAACAGGACAATGAAAGTAATGAAGATATCAATGGGAGATCCAAGAAAAACATCCACAGACATTTCTCGAGAAATGGGTGTAAGGGGAATATCGGTGTCTGCACGCACGGTGAGAAGAACGTTGGATGACATGGGACTTTTTGGAAGAGTTGCGGTGAAAAAACCACTAATATCAAAGAAAAATAGGACGGCCCGCTTTAAATTTGCTCAAGATCATCTCACCTGGTCTTATCAGAAATGGAATACTGTACTGTTTAGCGACGAAAGTAAGTTTCAACTGTTTGGTAGTGACGGGAAACGTTATGTCCGAAGACCAAAAGGTACTCGGTACAGCCGTAAGTACCAGATGCCCACAGTAAAACATGGGGGTGGGAGTATAATGGTATGGTATTTTTCTTGCTCAGGTGTTAGTCCTCTTGTTAAAATTGATGGGATAATGGACCGTTTTTTGAACAAGGACATATTGGAGAATAATATGCTGCCTCATGCTGATGAAGAAATGCCACTCAGATGGTTGTTCCAGCAAGACAATGATCCCAAGCACAAATCTCGGTTTGTTCAAAATTGGTTAAATGAACATAATGTTCCACTAATGGATTGGCCCTCACAGTCTTCGGATCTTAACCCCATAGAAAATTTATGGGACCATTTGGATAGCAAAATTCGAAATTCGAAGCCATTCTATTTCAAATAAAAATGAATTATGGGAAGTGCTAAAAACTGAATGGGCGGCCATTTCCAGTAAAGATTGTATGAGATTGATCAATTCGATGCCACGAAGATGTAGAGAAGTAATTAATTCAAAGGGATATTCCACTAAATATTAGTAATTTTTATATTATCTTCAATTTTAATAAACATTCTTCTTAAGTTTCCATACTTTTGACCAAGAAAATATTCATAATTTTTTATATATTTTTTGATAGCTGTAATTTTTTATTTAAATGTATTAGGTTTTGTAGGAAATTATTTGTAGGTCACGATTATATAAGTCGTTTTATTTCATATTTTAATTTCTCAGCATAAATGACAAATTAAAAAAGTTTCCATACTTTTGGCCACCACTGTAGATAAACAAGTCAACGATAGCATCTCCAGCTGCAAAATGTGAAGAACAAGTATGGGTTACATCAAATCGCAAAAATAACATTCAGTGGAAATGTAAACTAACGCAGAAAGTTCAGCAATGAAGTAATCTTTTGCAAAAAACTAGATTGAAAATAAGTTATGAACTGACTATTTTTTATAAAGTTCTGGAATAACTTTCTCGTGGCTTTACTAGTAAACTATTCTAACCAATGAAAACTATTCTAACAAATGAAAACAACTAACTAATTGGAAATTAAATAAGAAAAAATAATGAAACTATACAGAGTGAATCTTAAATAAGTACAAATAATTTTAGGAGTGGTATGTTTCGACCCCAAGAACACATTTATGAGTAGTTTTTTTTTCGTAAAAAAGGTGTTGAAAATCGTGCATTTCCTTTTAAGTTTTCCTGTATGTTTTAGAAAACATTTTAGAACTGTCTGTCCACCGCAAATTTTCCCACGGTATAATTTCTTAATCTCCGTTACGGCACTAAAAAGGATATAAATACAAAAAAAAAACCGTTGGCTCTCAAAATTTTTGAAAATTATTTTTGTAATTTTCAAACTTGAATAACTTTGGACTTATTTGAAAAATGGTCAAGAGAAAATATGTTTCATTTATCGAGATCTACCAGTCCTGAAAATATTTGCACTGATATAAGACTCACCCTGTATATAAGATAAAATACTTAAAATACATTTATAAAATTAAGATTTTTTTATAACCCTTAGAAATGACAAAATATCTCTTAACCCTGTATAAATGACAAAAATGAGAACACTATAATATTTTCTATTTAGTGGCGATATTCCTAGAATTTTTAAAAATTGTTTCATATCAGTTCAAAGTTATATTTAGAAATATATGGAAATATAAAATACCTTTTAGTTTTTTATATTTCATTATCCCTCATTGTCCATCCCTCCATCATCTACGACCGGAGTCGATTCCCCTGGACCCGGAAGTGTTAAAAAGATAATTCCGCTGGTCTGTGTTTGTATTTGTTTGAAGTCATAATTCGACATACATTTCAATTTAATGACTGCATCCAAAGCTTCTTTCTGACTGTGCTCCACATGTTTTTTAATAAAGTTTTCCAGAACGTTCAGATGGTCCAGAAACAAAACAACTGGAGTGTCGGATACAAACGATTTCTCTGATACTGAAAGTAGAGTTGAAATAATCATATCATATCCTTGACGCAGAATTGTTTTTGTTTGTTCGTTCTTAGCTAAATCCATTGGTGTATCATAGAACTTATCTGTAGCTAGCAGAAGTGTTGCCAGAGCTTCGATATCAAAGTTTTCTATAATGTATTCCACAATAACTTTTAATGCATCCTCCGATTCCCAATATACAGCTTGATGCAAAGCAGTTTTTCCGTCATGATCTGGAGAAGTTGAAGCTAATAGCTGAAGTAAAAATCTATTTGTACAGCGATCGTCATTAGTTCCATTTAGCCATTCCAGTAAGCGGAATAAAGTTGAACCGAAATTTCTAGCCGCAGCTATACCGAGAGATGTTCTACCATCGACAGGATGTTTTTCAAATAAAAAATCCATTAGACAAAGATCACCTGAATCGAGACAGGCGGAATGAAGCCAGTCAAGCAATGCCAGCATACTAGTATCCTTACCTTGACATATAGCTCTATATAAAATATTATTTTCGAGCCCGTTTTGAAAAACTACAGCTTTAAATTCTTTCCGATGCTTCAAAAAATCGAGTAATACAACTGTAGTTTCCGAGTAGTTTCTGTACACTGCTATATCTAGAACAGTTAAACTTTTCTTATCGCGGGATAGTAGTAGTTCTGTCAAAAGTTTCTCTGAAAAGTTTTTTATGCATGCCAGAAATAACTGAATATCCTCTGAACGATTTCTAAATGCCAGCAAATGCAATGCTGTGCTACCTAGTGCATCTTTGGATAAAATTAGTTCGCTCAGTAGATCAAAATGCGGTGAACCTACACACGTTTCAGACAAATTTAAACAATCCAAAAAGAACTTTAGTTTTCTGGAAGCATACCTACAACAAAAATGTAATAAGGTCCCTAGTTCGTCTCCACTCTGGAAAAGAATCTGGCGAAGAATGTACATTTTTGAACGGACGAAATCAAGTAACAACTGAAACATATTCTTGTTAGAAGAAGACAGTAAAGTAACTTGTAAAATTGTTATATTAGCTTGTCTACTATCGAGAAGAACTAGTCCTTCTAGAACTTTTTTTGTATATAGTTTCAGCAGAAGATCATCCTGATCATTAATGGTCATCAAGATGGCATTTAATATGTTAGAACTTTCTGAAAAGTTATATCTACCAATTGGATCATATACTAACTCAAATAATAAAAATTTACCGTATATCCCGTCCTTTAAAAGCACACTTTCCAATAAGGCTGGATATTCGCAAAGGACCCTCAAAATAAATTTGAGGGTATTAGATAAGTTATTTAGTGCTAAATGATGTGTAAAAATTTCTATAAATTGCTTGGAAATTGCTTCATTAATGTATGCAATTGCCGGTTCCTGCAATATCATTCCATGCGTTTCTTTTCCAAGCCGTTGATCGAGGAATAACGCAACGACTAAATAATCTTCGTAAGAAAATACATATTTGAACAAAATATTTTGGACTTCTGTCATATTTAAATTCTTGGTTAAATATCCACTCACAAAATATTCTGCAAAACTTCGATGTACGAAAATTAATCTTGACTCGTTCTTCACTAACAGTCCAACTCGAGTTAATTTTGAAATTTCTCTCTCGATATTTATGTTTTCCATGTACTCAGTATGGTCTGGAAATATCTCTTGAAAAGCAATTAAATCATGTTTGTGTAGAAGAATCTGTGAATGATCTTCTCGAATTTCAGCTGAGCCCGTGCTTACTCCTAAAATACTTTTTTGCTCATAAAATATAGCAAATTTTCTATCAATAAACCTGTTGAATAATTCCAGTAAACTTAAATTCCCAATCAGTTCAAAATTTTCCCAAAATACTATTTCAGCCAACATTTTCAATTGAAGAGGATTATTTGTAAAAGCGGTTGCTGTATCCTTAACTGAATTTTTCCATTGGTCGACTAACTGGTGTGCAAAATGCGTAAAGTTGAAGAGAGCAAATATATCATCTGCACACTGAATGGAGATCAAAGAATCTTCTCTTTCTTCATTATAAAGTAAGTTCTTTTGAATTGTAGTCACATATTTTTTTATTGTTTCTTCAAACAGATATATATTTTGATTACTAATGTTTCCTAATTCATTTTTAAAATTGTGCCTCCAAAAATTCATCAAAAAATTAATTTGCTGTTGTTCGTTAAAAGGACTTAACATAAACGCCGGCGTAGAAAATGCTCGTTCTAGAAAATCCTTTTCGTTCATTCTAGTTGTAATCCAAATGTTTTGAATATTTGTCTTGCTAATTTCTGTGATAAGCTTCGCAGTTTTTTCTTTATAGTGAGGACTGATTTCGTCAAAACCATCAAAAAGAATTACAATTTTTGGAGTAATTTGTTCCGCGTTACCATTTCGTAGACCTTCTTTAAATATTTCTCTTTGAAAATCGTTATTAAAGATGAGAGGACTTCGAGGAATTACCATTTCCGAAATAACTTCAATGGCTTCCGTAGTATTGATATTCTCATGGATTTCATTTACACTTCTCGTGTATTTTCTGAGATCGTCAGAATGTAGTAATTCGTTCTCAAATGCATAATCGTTTAAGTTAATTCTCGCAATCCACCACATATTATGTTTCTTTTTCAGTCTTTTACCGACACTTGCTAAAAATGTAGATTTTCCAGTTCCGGGACCATTGGCAAGCAACATAACTTTATTAGAAAAATCTTTAACAAAATTTTCTTCTGTAAATAACTGGTCGTCAGATAACTCATATTCCAATTCTACACAATCTTGTATTTGATCAACATTTTTTGTAGCCACCTTCCAAAAAAAATCATTTTGAATTTGATGTATCCAGTAAACTGCCAATTCCGGATGGCTAGTACAAATTTTATTAAAAACTCGAATAGGGTCATCGCTTTGTTTTGTATATATGATTCCATAAGAATATATAGTTCCTTCAACCCATTCGTATGTGGGAAGATTTTCGATAAAAGGATATATATTACTGTTACTGACGCAAGTAAGAAAGAAAATACTTCGCTTAATGCCAAATACACATTTTTTAAGCTTCTGCATATGCAACGATCGTGGCACATAACAGTCAAAAGCACAATCCGTAAATTTGAAAGCCTTTTCGTCTCCCAAACTAATGATTTTCCCATTAATAAGATCATCTAAATGTGTTTCATTAATGATTTTCCTAGCACATTCTAAACCGATCAATTGATTAATCGACATTCTTTCTCCTTGAAAGGTAACTGGTTGTTGTAATAGTTTAAATTGAGATTCGTGGCTTAAACACTTAAAAGATGACTCGTCTTGCAGCATTTCAGTTCCAGAAATATTCAAACTTTTAAACAGCGTTGCTAATTCATCAAATTGTCCTCCTATTAAAATTATCTTTTTTTCTTTGTTATTTATTAATATGGAATGTACATTATCAATAAACTCTTGCCAATAAGGTAAAGGAAAATTGCTGTAAGTTTCAGGATAGCATTCGATGACAAGAAGATCATGTCTTCCAATTGCACCAAAAGTATCAATGACTAGTTTTTGAGTTTCTGATCTGCTTAGATTCTCTAAAGGAATAAATATAAAACTATCATGTTCCTTATATAATCCTGATTCGGTTATGCCTTGTAAGACTTTAATGGCACTTAGCCTAGTGCGTTTAGTCGATAAATGCACGAACTTGTTTTCAGAGGACAAAAAATCAGTCAATATTGAACGTTCGAATGAAATATTGAATCCCTTTAATTTTTCTGGATAAGCTTTATTTAAACCTGACACCATTAAGGATTTTATTTTTAGATTAATGTGTTGAAAAAATTCCACACCTCTGTCTTTAGATAAATATTCACTTCGGCCTTCTTTATAATCTTTAAACCAATCGAGCATTTCCTTTTGAAAAGAATCTGTTATTAAATCAGTATTTATAAAAGAATACTTATTTCTCATTTCTTTCTTTATAAGCAGATTGAGCCGATCCACATCGGGGTAACAAACTACGAATCTAAACTTTCGTAAAAACTCTTTCAAAAATTCTTCTAGTTTGATATTATTTAATATTAGTTCTAACATAACAAGATCAGAAATATCATTTTCTAAATTATCCAACAATTTTTCTTTAACGCTATCCAAACCCAAACCTTTTTTCTCAAAATTATCTAAATTCTTCTGAAAATAGGGAAATCGATATAGGTTGCTTTTTAGGATAGAAAGATCTTTAGACTTTACTATTTCATCACTGAAATCAATATACCTTTCTTTCGTTTCTATTATCGTGCATATGTCTTTTTTTAGAGCTTGATGTTCCGATGATGAAATATCCTCAAAACAAAAAAGTTTATTCTCAGCCTCTGACACAAAACTCAAATTCTCCTTTAACAGATCTTTTGAAACATCAAAAACTTTGAGTCTTTCCGAAAAATAATTTTGATCTTTTACATCAATTTTTTTAAATTTTACAATTATTTTTTTTAAATAGTCGTATCTACTGCTACTCATAAATTTATTTTTCACATTTAATAATTTGTTAGCAAGTGAAATATATTTACCTTTTTCGCTCTTATTGTTATTTAATGAACCTTCTAATTCAAGAACATTGTATTCTATTTCTTTTAATATTTCCTTTAAATCTTCAATTACTTGTGTCGCTTGTAGCGTCTCCATCACTGACTTCAATTCTTTGAGTTTTTCCAATTCTAATGATTTTTTCAGGAAATTGGAGTTTAAAAGTTTAGACAACGATGGGATAGCGTTATCACTAAACTTATATTTTTTAGCATTCGTTATATTAGGAAATGATAAAAATACATCGCTTTCTAAATTCTCCAGCTCTAATAAGTTTTTCCACAAATTTACCAAATCGTTTTTTTGCTGTGCGGCGGGAGTTAAGTTTCCATCGTTTTTCCGTTTTTTAATTTCCGAAAAATCAAAATCGGTGTTTGTGCAAAGGTCAAACTCTTCCAAGTTCGATTGGTCAAACATGACGCTGCTCTTGATTTTACAGAAAGAAACAAAGTACTTTTGAATGCTAAAAGGGCCGTCTGATTCGGTTAATAAATCGTTGACCGTTATCCTATCTCGCTGGACGTCCTGTTTGTGTTTAGCTTGAAAAAATCGCCAGGACCACTGTTCATTTTGAGAGGTCTTGTACCGAATCACTGCGTCGTCAAATTTTTCTGCTTTGTTCATTTCCGTCGCCAAATCAAAGTGGTCGTATTTATTCAAACCGCGATTGAGAAGTGACATGAGAAGCTGTAATTGATAGATGGTACCGTGCAGAGAAGTTTTTAAGCCTGAGACTGCATAAGTTTCTCCAGGTGGTCTCGTTTTTGATGTAGTTGGAGCATCTGACTGTGTCTGAACCAATGTTAACATTCTATTGACCGATCTTTTATCGTCAGCTTGTACTGTTTTTGAAGACAATTGAGTTTTTTCTTTAGACCTATCAAAAAGACTATTTATTGATTTCCAGTCTGAATCATCTGGATATTTCTTTAATCGTTTTGTTACTACGTCTACAGCCGATTCATCTTTTTCATTTTTTGCTTCCTGATTGGCTCCGTTTTTCAGTAACTCCTTTATAGCTTCCATTAAAGGCTTTTTAGATCCTTTGGCCTTAATCGCTTGTTTCAAAACGGCATGTAGAGGGGTAGTACCGTTCATATTAAAATTCACCACTGACCGATTTTTTGAGACAAGTTTTCGGATTTCGTCACAATCGTTTTTATAAATGGCTGTAAACAGTGCCATCGCTGTTCTGTTATCTTCATTGCCAGTATCACTGTCACTACCTGTAGAACTGTCTTCGCTCATGTTTAAAAACTTTTACACAAAACACACAAGATGAGTTGGTAATTTAGATCACTTTTGAATATTTTTGCAATGTTAGAGGAATTTAAACAATATACATTACGCTGCTGACTTTAGCGAACTGAATAAAATGCCAAAGTAAGATAAATAGATATCTTATCTCCTCCTCAGTTACAAAGTTACAAAACAACATTATACCGGATGCATAAATGTTTATATCAAAAACCAATGAACCACAATGACATGTATTCGAATAAAATATAATCAATATTATAAATAAATTAAAGCTCTTCTCTAATATTGGGTTATTTGTCTCTTCAAAAGGATAATCATAATACAAATAGACTTTGGAAAAAGGAAAACTGAATAAGTTGACTGGAAAATCCTAAAATTAAGAAACTGTAAGTGCTTTTTACTACGAGATTTTCGAAAGAAACCAAAACCGTAAGACGAACGATAGATACATGTATTTCTTGAATTTGTCATGTAGAAACTTTTAGGTAAAAAAATGCAGGGTTTAATCCTAGATCAGAAGATTTAAAAGGATATATCCATCATCACTACACGCCATTTTCATACTTTCTTTACTGCATTTATTAAAAGTTCAATAGATTGGTCATTTTAAGGTTACTAGACGTCCTCTTTTTACCGGATGTGTCCTCTTATGTCCGGGCGTCCGGTCTCTTTTTTAGAATTTAACCGAATTGTCCTCTTTATTCACATTACATAAAAATATGTTTAATAACGTGTTTTTTTTCAATTTTGATATACCTATCTGCTAATATATCAATAAATCACGACAACGAAGAATATTTCTATACATTACTCTCCTATTTTCTACCGTTTCCTATGAGGAAGCCCATAGCGAGTTTCTCCAAACATGTCAAATTTTTTCGCACTACTATCACATAACACAAATTCTGAGAGAATTTTTCCATTAAAGGGTCCCAATAGACAGATGACAGAAACAGGCTCTCCGTATCGTATGTTAAGGCGATATTGGGAACGCAGATTAATTTAAAATAATTTACCTGCTCACAGTTATATTATGATTACCTACTTGTTAACAAAAAAAATACTAAAATTAGTGGATCAGCAAAATACACACACCGGAAAAATCTAGGGATATCATTTTATTAAAGTTAAAAATAAATGTTTTGAATAAACAACCACATATTTGTAGGCCGATTCTTTCTACTTCGATTGAAACGAAGTAGTCACACTAGTTATTTCTAAATTTGGGTTATTTGCAGAAGTGTTTGTGCATTTTTTGTCAAATGTATAAAAAGCACCTAGCATCAATTGTTCGAATTTAACCTGTACTGGCTATGTTTTTATGATAACTGGCCAAAATTCATTCAAATAACTCTGTTTAGTATTAAACGACATTATGGAGCGTAGACATCTTAACAGAGACGAAATGCTAAGGGTCATGGGTATGCTCGAAGCTGGAATGCGCCAAATCGACGTAGCTAGAGCATTAAATACAACGTAAAGTTTTTGAGTTGCTGAAAGGCACACAGGGCGACATCGCATTACTACCCCTCAGCAAGATCATTTTTTACAATTAAATGATCGACGCCGACCGACTCTTACAGCACCAGAGCTTAGTTTAGTTTTCCAGGAAACACATAATGTAACCGTTAGTCCTGACACTGTTCGCAATAGATTAAGAGAGGTCAACTTAAGAAGCAGCTGCCCCTGGAGAGCTCAACCCTTAACGAGAGGAAATCGAGAAGTACGATATTTGTGGGCTCAAGATCATGTTCAGTGGTCGAATGAACAATGGGCCAATGTTCTCTTCACGGATGAGTCACGCTTTGGAATTCATCCGGATTCGAGAAGGCTTAGGGTATGGAGAGAACCGGGAAATTTTATTCGGTTGGATCATGTTCAGGAAGTGCACCCTTATCAAGGTAGAACAGTTATGGTCTGGGGAGGAGTCCAGTTAGGCCGAAAAACCGATCTCGTTTTTCTTGAACAGGTTTCTAACAGGAATCACATATCGTAATTTAATTCTTGAGCATGTCGTGTTACCATATGCCAATGATTTTGGGAGAAACTTCATTCTCATGCATGACAATGCACGGCCTCATACAGCCAGAGTGGTAAGTGAGTTTATCAATGCTCATCAATTAAACATCTTACCCTGGCCGGCACAATCTCCTGACCTCAACCCCATCGAGCACGTATGGGACGCGGTTCAAAGAATTTTGAGAATGGGTATGCCGCGTGAAACTCGTAGGGATCTGGTTCGGGCCGTGAATGCAGCGTGGCAGGCTGTACCTCAAGAAGAGATCGACAACCTGATCAGGAGCATGGAGAGACGATGTAGGGCTGTAATGAACAGTAGAGGAGGCTATACCCTTTATGAAGTAAAAATGGTTTTATCTTTTTTTTTTAATTCACAGTTTAGAATAAAAAAAATGTGTATATTTTTTGAGTTCAATAAAAATCAAGGTAAATTTGAAAAAATCGGTAAATTTCGCATTTTTATTTCCAATGCGTCCTATAAACTCTTTGATTATTTTAATTTAATTATATCAGAAATGCAAATAATAAAATTACTGATGATGGCTGGATAAAATTGTAATATCCCTAGACTTTTCCGGTGTGTTTACGGGCAGCTTGAAATTGAAGCAAGTACATCTTCTACTCCGACATCATTATAATATGTACAGTATCGGACAAAATTAGAGCAACTTTATGATTTTTTCCACTCAAGGCAAATTATTTTGTAATATGAATTTGAAACTACTACCCTAAAACACGATTTACAAATGAAACAAGAAAATACTAACAAATCTTTATTTCCTATAGTTTCTTTAAAAAAATATTCCAATAATCCTATTTTTTTACTGCGACAAATATAAAGCAACTTTTATTTTTTTCCAAGCTATTAAGAATACAAACTAAATTTAAGTATCAAAAAGGCCGCACTATCAATATTTTGTTCAGTACCCTTTATTTGCTATCACAGCTTCACACCTCTTGGGCATTGAATCAATTAAATTTGAAATGACGTCAGCATCCACTGACATCCAAGCATTTTCAATTGATACAATCTTGTTACAAACTATCACAATTTGAGATATTTTTTGAAAAGATACACTTTTCGGGAACTTTTCTTAAATTTAGGGAAAGTAATCAAAACATTGGAAAAGTTGTGAACAGGCCTTGACAACAGCAACTTGATTTATTATTAGATTTATGAGAATAATAAAAATTAAATATATTTTGAAAGTTATATTTTCTTAACTTTATCACTTTTCTGCTTTGGGGAATATTTCCGGGAACCTTCCCGGAAAGTTTCCAATTTTACATACCATCTATCAATTATAGCTTCTTATGTCACTTCCCAATCGAGCTTTGATAAATACGAGAGTATTTCGATTTGGCCACGAAAATTAATAAGCAGAAAAAACTCAATTATCTTTAAAAATAGTACAAGCTTATGATAAAAGATCGGTCAATAGATTGTTAACATTGGCTCAGACACAGTTAGATATGCATGTGATTCGTTCAAATGAGCGAATCGTAGGCGTCGATTCAATATGAGAAATTGAATCGTGTGATTCAATTTCTCATATTGAATATATTTTATGCAAACAAATTTTGATTATGCGGCTTTTATGCGCCCAAAAATGGCTCATTATGCGGCTATTATGCGTTAAAAAGTTACTTATTATGCGAAAAAATGCTCCTAGAAAAGTAATTTTATGTTTTTACGTAAAGAAGTGCATAAAGGTGGGTATTTTCGTTAAAGGTGTTGATAAAGGTGTTGAAAATGGTTAGTTTTTTTTTATAAACAGAAAACACACAAGATTTCACAAAAACCAAACAACACAAGATTTCACAAAACTTTCACTTTTTCAACCAAACACACAAGATTTCACAAAACGCAACATATTATATTTAAACAGTGTCATTTTTTGGTAACTATAAAACATCTTTTCCTTTGGCTTCCGAGCCACATAGGAATTCCTGGCAATGACAGAGCTGATTACTTGGCTGAAAAAACTCCCAACCCTCATAAAACCAACCTCGTTTTCTCCGTGCAAGATCTAAAGAATTATGGCAAATATATGATCGATAATATCATCCAACTAGAATGGGACTTAGACACGAATGATAATAAAAATAATAAATCTATAAAACATCTTAACAAGATAACAAAAATTTAATAATATTATCAACTATTAATCTCATAAAAAAGCTAAAAAAGAAGCTAAGTTTCAACATCATCTTCGAGAACCCAATCTGAACAATCATTTCCCAAATTCATACTCTTCATGTTTTACTCATCAACGTTTTCAGGAGAAAGTCTGCAACGTCTAGGGGAGAGAATATCTCCATAGGCTGAAAAAGCTCGTTCGCTATCGACATTTGCCACTCGGATATGCAAAACTTACATGCAGTATGTAAAAAACCCAGGATAATTGGGTCTCAATCCCAACAGTACCTTGCATACAAAATCTGTTATTTTTATTTGTTTTGGAGTTCTGAACTGCCTCTTTCACCTCATCCGACATTAGGTTAAACTACCAAACTGCTTATTTCTCATAGACAACCTTTGTGTTTTTTTTGTTATTTTTGTGAAATTTTAACTTCTAACCTTACTTTTGGCGTACGGGAGGGGTTAAAGTTCGAAAGTGGCTAAAGTTTCGCCTTGCGGCACTTTCGGGGAGCCAAACTTTACCGACAAATCTTTGATTAAAACCAAATTTAGGGTGTTCAACTCGCCGTTAAATTGATTTTATTTAAGAAAAATGAACCTTTTGGGTTGAGAAAATTTAAATTGCAGAAAAAAGGAAAAATAAATGCCACTTTATGCGATAATTATGCACTTTGCGCATTATGCTGCAAAACGACCCAATTATGCGTTATTATGCAGGGTGTATTCGTCCTCAGGAAGGTTTAGTGATGACTCAGGTATCAACTTTGAATCGTTTTAAAGCCTTTTTAAAAATTATGCAATTAATGCGAGTGCATAATCTGCACATCTCTACTCATACCCATCTCTCACTAGTACCCGCGGTATATTCCTTCATAAGTATACTCTGTTTTTTTTCTCAGGTAAGATTTCGACAGACGATGACA